CCCAGCCCTGCCCAGCCCCTCTCAGCCCCTCAGAGCTCTCCTCTAGGCCAGAGCTCTGCCTGCTGCTGCTTGGGCACAGGACAAGGGTGTTTCGAGGTTTTTGTGTTGCCATCCTTTGAGTTGTGAGAGATCCTGCAAAGCAGGAAAAGGGAGAGTTGGATGAGGGGAAGTGTTTATAAAATCAGAGCATTGTTCAGGCTGGGAAAGACCTTTAAGACCATCAAATCCAGCTCTTCACCTAGCACCATGTTCACCACTAAACCCTGTCCCCAAGTGCCACGTCCACACGTCCTTTAAATCCTTTCAGGGATTGTGATTCCACCTGGGCAGAATTCACTGTCTGAATGTCCAGTCTGGGCTTGTTCCAATGCCTGCCCATCCTTGGTGTGAGGAGATTTTCCTTCCTGTCCAGCCCAAACCTCCCCAGCACAACTTGAGGCTGCTTCCTGCTGGAGTTTCCCAAATCCTCCTCCTGACCCTTCCTGTAGATGGGCATGAAATCAATATCTGTGAAGTCCTGGTGGCATCTTTTCTTTCTTCCTAGGGTCTGTTTCCTCCTGTGATGCCTTCCTGAGCTTGTTTCAGAGCCACGGGCTCAAACCAGAGGCGATTTGTCCCTGTGCCACCTCCCCCGAAGCGATGACCGTCGCAATCCGGAGGTAACAGATTGAGTCATCCAGCCTGGGCTTTCTTCACACTTGGCTTGGTCAGAGTTGATTTAGGCATGTAATAAACTCCTCTGACATTTACTCTGTGTGCTCAGGTACTCAAGCTGCTGAGCTTTAAACCTCCCTCCTGAGATCCAAGTGATTTCTGAGGTGTGTGACAGCTCAGCAGTGCCTGAGCTCTGCTTTTGCTCCTCCTGATTTCCACAGCCTGGGAGGTGTTCTGACTCTGGGATGAGATTTGAGATCATTTGGGCACTCTCATACTCTGTTTCTGTCCATTGCTGCCTGTAAGAAACAGGGCTGGGAGCTGGGGTTTGCCATGGGGTGAGGTAAGGAGCTGGCAGAGGAGCTGCAGTGCCCAGGAACACAATTCCTTATGGATTGAAAATCTGGGTGGGGATCCTCACTGCCATCACAGTTTGAAGTGATTATGCAAAGCAGAGACACTGAACACACCTCTTTCTGTTGCTGTGCCATCTCCAGCTGAGTCTAACACCAAGCTGGGTGCCTGACTGAGTGTATTTGTTCATTTTGTGTCCTTCCCAGGCCTGGAGTCCCCGGGGCCCCTCTGCCAGGCAGAGCCATCCTGTCCATGAACGGGCTGAGTTTTGGTGTCATTCGGGTCAACACTGAGGATAAAAACTCTGCTCTCACTGTCCAGGACGTGGGGCACGTGATGCCAGGAGGTAAAAACAGGCAGGAGACTGATGTGAGATGATTTGGGGATGTTTTAGGAGCAGAATGGGTCAGTGTTCTCTCCCACATCAGCCTCAGTGTGGGAGAGGTGGGGCAGTGCCAGACTCGGTCATTCCTGTCACGATCCAGCGTCTCACTTCTCACACAGGGCAAAATTTGGGAGCTGTTTTTAACAAAGCCTGATTTTTCCTAGGCATGATGTGTATAGTGAAACCAGATGGGCCACCCCAGCTCTGTAAAACAGATGAGATTGGTGAAATCTGTGTGAGCTCCAGAGCAGGAGGAATGATGTACTATGGGCTGGCAGGGGTGACAAAGAATACTTTCGAGGTATGTCTAGCAGGGTGCATCTTTCCTGCCCCATTTTCTGTGTCTAACTGGTGGTCTTGTACAACCCCTTGGGTTTGTAACTGAAGTGTTAATGTTGGTTTTTATAAACATGCACTGGAAATCTCCTTGCAGTCAGAGACACTGAGAATCCCCTCCATAAACATCTCCCACCCTGGCTGTACCGAGGGTTCCCTGCCCTTCTCCTCTTCCCTTCACTAAGTGCAATTTTTTGGGGTGGTTTTTCTCCACAATTTTGGGGTGGGTTGGGAAGGTTTTTCTCTCCTCAGGCCTCCAATGTCCTCCCTTGTGTTGCAGGTGATCCCTGTGAACTCCTCTGGCTCTCCCGTGGGGGAAGTGCCCTTCGTGCGCTCCGGCTTGCTGGGATTCGTTGGACCTGTACGTGAGGAGAGCCTGCAGCGCTCTGGCCCTTCAGCCTTGCAGAGAGCAGCTTTGGGGAGGGAGGATGTGTGAGAGGGGCTCGCTGTGAGCTCCTCACCCGTTGCCTTCTTGCCTTGCAGGGCAGTTTGGTGTTTGTGGTTGGGAAGATGGACGGGTTGCTGACCGTGAGCGGGAGAAGGCACAACGCCGACGACATCGTGGCCACTGGGCTGGCCGTGGAGTCAATAAAAACAGTTTACAGAGGAAGGTCAGCACCAGAAACCCCATCACCTGCTGCATGTCATAAAGCAAAGCACAAGCTTTAGTACTTTCTTGGATTTCTCTTTGGTAGATCAGTTAAAGTAAACATATTTTTGATTTAGGTAGTAATTGCCCTGATCCTGCCCAACACAGATCTTTTCCCCACTATCCAGCCTGGCTTTTCATCAAGTCTGTGCTTTAGGGAAAGCAATCAAGTAACAAGATAAGTCAGGCACACAGAGAAATTAATTCTCTGTCTCTGCAGAGTTGCAGTCGTTAGCTGCTGACTGGTGCAGCAAGGAAGAGTTTCATTAATGTCCAGAGATATTTGATTTTTATTTAGCAGTTGTGGATACAATTTTCCAGATCTTCAGGCAGAGCTGGAGCTCATATCTCCGAGATTGAGTGAGAGATTTTAAACCATCCTGTAGGTGCCTTTAAATCTCCTTTCATTTGGGCTTTGCCAGAAGTTGGAACAAGGATGTGACAGCAGGTTGAGAGAACGGGGGACTGTGCCATATGGAAATTCCATCAGAAAGTGGAGTTAACCCCTTAAATACTCTGCAGTCTTTCCTTTTGACTCAGTGTTAATTGTCTGATGCTTTTTCTTTTGCTTTTGCCCCATGATTACTTTAACAAGTCCTGTCTTTAATCTCTCCTTGGCCCCCTGTTTCTGAGGAGTGAAACTGGAGTGTGGCTCTGCCCTTTCTGCAGGATTGCTGTGTTCTCCGTGTCTGTGTTCTACGACGAGAGGATCGTGGTGGTGGCAGAGCAGAGGCCAGATGCATCTGAGGAGGACAGTTTCCAGTGGATGAGTCGGGTGCTGCAGGTACAGCTGGGGAAATCCTGCAGCTTTTGGGGTGTGGGCAGAGCAGAGACACCTCGATGGAGGTGCCATGAGCTCTGCATCCCTCTTGGCACAAGGTGTTTGTGCAGGGTCCCAGGCTGTGTCCAGGCTGTTCTGTTGTGTCCTCAGGGAACTGGAGTGACAGGACAAGGGGAATGGCTTCAAACTGAAATAAGAGGAATTTAAGTTCAATTTTGGGAAGAAATTCCTCGGCCAGTGTGGGATTCCATGAGTCCCAGAGAACAGAGAGGCTCTGGCAGTCTCCTCTCAGAACTGCAGAGCAGATCTGTGCTCAGGCTTTGGAGTTCTGCTTTCAGTCTGGATCATGTGGAGCTCAGAGTTCGGCTTTAAAGCCACTCTTTTCTTTGGAGATGCATTTTCAGCAGGGAGCAAGTGGGCAGGGAAGGGCCAGAACAGCTGAATGAGTGTGGTCCTAAAAGAATGAGTAGCAAGAGCTTCCTTTGAGAGCTGCCTGCACTGCATGTGTGTCATTCCAGGAATGGCATTCAGGGAGTGAAGTGTGCGAGCTGGGGTGGAAAACCAGGGAAGTACCTGGTGCTCTGAATAATGGATCAGATGCCTGAATGCTGAGGCGGGCAGGAGGGAACAGAGTGTGATGGTTCACAGGAGACAGATGGATGCAATCCCGAGATCAGAATCCTGTGATTCATCAGGCAGCCGTGGGTATTTTGGGATTTTGGTCATGAAGGATTTAAAAATGGATTTGGTGTCTATGAAATGGGCTGTAAAGGCAGGGGGGTAGCCAGCACTTCAGGCTCGCTGCAGGGCTCGCTGCTGGCACAGAGGGCAGGTGGGGTGTCAGTGATTGACTCACAAGCCCAGGGATTTGTCTTGCAGTGTGGGTGCATCAGCAGATTGTGCCCAGCAGTGCCAGCAATGCCAGTGACCATCTCTCCTTTCTCCAGGCCATTGACAGCATTCACCAAGTGGGTGTTTACTGCCTTGCTCTCGTGCCAGCCAACACATTGCCAAAAACTCCGCTGGGAGGGATCCACATCTCCCAAACCAAACAGCACTTTCTGGAGGGCTCTCTGCACCCCTGCAACATCCTCATGTGCCCACACACTTGTGTGACAAACTTGCCAAAGCCCAGGCAGAAACAGCCAGGTAACCTGAGCCCTTTTTTGTTTGGTGCTGTTGAGCTGGGGCTCAGTGCTCATCCCCAGGGTGATGTTCTCCTCCCTGTCCCACGTGCTGGGGACCAGGGCCTGTCTTGTGCCCCATGGTTTGGGCTTGTTCCAGGCCTCTCTTTGCATGTGTTAGTCAGGAATTTTAATTCCCACCTTTGAGCTCACTGGGATTCTCCCTCCTGCTGCATAGAGAGCAGCAGTGCCTGCTGAGCTCCATCAGTGAGGCTCATTCCCAGGAGCAGGGGGATCCTGCAGGGCTCTGTCCCTTTGCTCTGCTCCTTCCCAAGGTGCTGCTGTCTCTCCACAGGGGTGGGCCCTGCCTCTGTGATGGTGGGGAACCTGGTTGCTGGGAAGAGAATCGCTCAAGCCTCTGGGAGAGATCTGGGTCAAATAGAAGACAATGATTTAGTGAAAAAGGTAAATCAGTGTTTGTGACAACTGGAGGATGGGAAGGAGTTTTCCCTGCTGTGTGCAGAGCAGCAGTGGGGAGCACTGAAGGAGAAGCTGGTGTTGAATTCTTTCCTGTCTCTTCCAGCACCAGTTCCTGACAGAAGTGTTGCAGTGGAGAGCTCAAGCAACTCCTGACCACCCACTCTTCCTTTTATTGAATGCCAAGGTACAGTCAGTGCTGAGTTGTTGGGTTTTAAGGTCCATGTGCCATCCAGTGCCAGTTGGAGAGTCTTTAAAGTCTTTTGCCCTCTGCAGTGCCTCTCTTTAACCTCTGTATCAGATTTTGACCACAGATTTGTAACTTAAAACTTGACCCTTTGACCCTCTAGGTCCCTTCAGCAAATGGCTCTCATGGTTTGACACTTCATTTTAAAACTGAGCGTGTTTGTAGGTCCCACTGGTTCCTGTATCAGTTAATGGTGTATCCCTTGGTGCCACCATCCCTATCAGTGGTGTTGAGTATATTCTGGCAAGGTTCTGGTGCAAGAAGACCTGAACTGACTCCCTGGCAGGTAGAATTTTCTAGAGCAGATCTAACTCCATCTCTGTAGTGGATGAGTGGCTCACTGGGCACAGCAGCCTTTAGGTAGAGATAACTCTTAGCTGTAGCCTCCTGCTAGCCAGCAAGCTTGGGTTTATCTCAGAGCAGCCAGTTTGGGTTGTGCCAGCCCCTGTTGAGAGCATTTTTGTCTCCTTTCAAGGGAACCACTGTGTGCACGGCCACCTGCCTTCAGCTGCACAAAAAGGCTGAGAGAATTGCATCAGTGCTGTGTGACAAAGGCCATCTCAATGCAGGAGACAATGTGGTGCTTCTTTATCCTCCTGGTGAGTGAGACCCGCTGGGGAAACACAGCCTGGGCTTGCTTTGGCCTCTTACTGGGATCTGGAAATGCAGGAAAGGCACTCAGTGCTAGTGAGAGGTGCTCACTGCTGTGTCCTGACTGGTTTGGAGTCGTTTGATGTTCCTTTCCTCAGTGATGGAGATCCTTTCCTGTGTGGTTCCTTTACTGACCCCATTCCCTATCCCAAGCTTTCTCAGCTTCCTTGTGCTGCTGGGCTGCTGACGTTGCCCAGCTGTGCTGTGGGAGGGGCAGCAGTGCCCGGCTGTGCCCAGGGACCCCTCCCCAGTGTCCCCTTGGTGTCCCTGCAGGCATCGAGCTCATCACGGCCTTCTACGGCTGCCTGTACTCGGGCTGTGTCCCCGTCACCGTGCGCCCGCCCCACGCCCAGAGCCTGGTGGCAACTCTGCCCACAGTGAGGATGATCGTGGAGGTGAGTGCCAGCCTGGGGTGCCAGCTGTGTCACAGGGACTGGGGCTGGGTTGCTCACGGGCTCCTGAGAGTCACACTGAGTGCCCCAGCCTGGTGCTCCAGGGGTGGCACAGCCAACAGAGCTCGTGGTGCCTGTGTGACAGGGACTGAGGCACATCCTGGAGCTGAGGGACAGTGTTCTCCTTCAGAAATGCCAGAGAGAGAACCCCCCACACACACCTGTCTGACAACACCAACGTGGTGTTGCCACCCAGAATTTCACCTTGGCACTCCTGAATGCTGGGGAAGTCCAAATCCTGCAGTTAAGTCACTTCCCAAGCTCAGTAACCAGGGGACAGCACGGGGAAGAAAGGTTGATCTTGCTGTGGCACCTTGTCACAGGTTCTGCCAGGGTGGGTCTGTGCAGGCTGGGCTGCACTGGGGCTTCAGTGAAGGGGAAGCAGAGCAGAGTGTGCAAAAGGCAGAGAAAGGAATTCAGGTTTGCTGATGGGATAAAATCGTCTCTGCACGTCAGAGACTGGGACATGTTCTGTGCTGCTGGGACCTGCTCCTGCCTCTTTGCTTCAGTGATGTTCACCTTTGCAGGTCAGCAAAGCCGCCTGCATCCTCACAACCCAGACCCTGATGAGGCTGCTCAAGTCCCGAGAGGCAGCTGGGGCTGTGGATGTGAAAACCTGGCCAACCATCATTGACACAGGTGAGCTCCCTGGCCAGGAGGCTCCTTCAGGTCCTTTGGAGGGGTGGCTGGTGACTTCCAAAGGGACTGGCCCACATTTCATTGAGTGGCTCTGGAAAATTCGTTTGAATATGCACAAAAGGTTTTCAAGATGTGCCCTTGTTCACTGAGAACTCTTCTGTATTGAGCTGTGCATGGGAAATGATTACAGGGATTTCTGGAGACGACTTTAATCTGTTTAAGACAAGGATGAGTTGGTCATTATTCATCATTTTCTTCCTTTTCCTGAGAATAAATTTTCTTGGCAAGAGTTTTGCCATACACTAGCCTGTCTCTTCTGGAAAGAGAATTAATGGAAGACTTTATCTTCCATCTCTGGTGTTTGGAAAGTCATGTTCTCCTTTCAAACACCGGTCAAGTAACCAAAGTTAACCCATTTGTTTCTGTCTTGCACAGATGATTTGCCCAGGAAGAGGCTGGCCCAGATCTACAAGCCACCCACACCTGAAATGTTGGCATATCTAGATTTTAGTGTTTCCACAACAGGCATGCTCACAGGAGTAAAGGTATAGTAACGGGTTAGGAGATGGGCATTTGTGTCTTGTATTGTCTGACCCTCTGAGCCATGTCCCCTTGACTTCCACCTCCAAGTTGTAGCTTAAACCAGGACCCTGATTTTCTTCTAACAAAGCTGTGGGCTTCATTTCCCTGAGTCCTGCTGAGGAGGGAACCAGGTTTGCATCCAGAGTGGGGTCAGGAATTCTGCTGCTGCCTCCCCTGGAGAGCTGCTTGGGAGAGAGCTCTGAGCTCCACCAAGAGCAGAAGAGGGATGCAGTCAGGAAAAAGAGGATAAGAAACTAAAAAGGAAAGCCTTAGACTGTTGTTAATGCTCATGTGTGTTTGGAGTTGGAATCACAGCACAGTCAGGGTTGGGAGGGAGCTCTGGAGATCCCCCAGTCCAAGGCAGGCTCACACAGAGCAGGTGACACAGGAACACGTCCAGGTGGGTTTGGAATGTCTGCAGAGAGGAAGACTCCACAACCGCCCTGGGCAGCTGTTCCAGTGCTCTGCCACCTCCATGGAAAGTTCTGGCTCACGTTGAGGTGGAGATCAGACAGCTGCAGCTTCAAGTTTAGCTTTGGTGTCACTGTTGGTGTCACTGTTGGTGTCACTGTTGGTGTCAGGGCTCTGCAGTCTCTGCCTCTGTTGGGGAAGCTCAGGAGCCAAACCATGGCCTTGCCTGCCCACCAGCTCTCCATGAGCTGCCTTTGCT